TGCAACAATTTGCAGAAACTGGGCGCTCTACCCAGAGCCTCCAGTGTAGTTTTTCTCGGTTAAGTATATTAGAATTTCCCCACCAACAAAAACCATCGCCAACCCAAAAAGGAACTACGTAGGAGCCTGTAGGCAAAAATGCATGCTTTGCCTGGTCAACAGACGGCACCTAGTTTCTTCTCTCAGGCGTGAGGCGAATAGTAGCGCAAATAGCAAGCAGTATATGGGAGCTTCCCAGAATAACCCCCAAATCCAAAATATCCCTTAAAAGAGAACCCCACAATCTCCCTAGGGTCTCTCAGGGCATCCCTATCTTGAGAGATCCGCATATAGAGCAGCGTACATGCAATGGTGGGAGCCGTGCCAGAGCGGAGTTTGAGCGATGCTTGCTGTGTTCCTGCATGCAAGCAAGTCGCACACTACGGGAAGACCTTCTGGCCAAACTTCGCTCCAACCCAGGACTCTGGACTCTAGACCGGAAAGCTGAATCCCAAACCCGCTTTTGGTCTGCACAGCACGCCTGTGTTCTGTCGGATGGACGTTTGGCTGCTATTGGGCTATCGACACCATGGTGTTACAGTAGCACAAAAGATCGGCTACCCTCGCATAGTCACATACCGGAATATGGTAGCCCATGTAGCACCCGGCACCCGCACCAACGATTCCATCTGCGGAGCTTGTACTACTTGGACGTCAACAACACAGTGCCCGTGCCAAATGCTGGATGCTGGCCTCGGGAAAGCCATCAGGCGAATCAGAGGCTAGCGACATGATGCAAAATTATAGTGAATAAAACTCCTCGTGAAGTGTCCGTATTGGCAGCAATGTTTCGACTGCCAAATCATGAGCAAACAGCCCATTTGATCTTGCTACGCATTCATCTCAGACATTCTTGTCGTCGCTCTGGGCCGGTACCTTCTGCTTCCTCCTCACCCTGAGCTGCTAACTGTGCATGACGAAAAAAATACACGTTTTGAGGCGAGCTAGTGGTAATGGTACTACGAGCCCAGAAGCCAAAAACTTGTACAACTATAAACCGGCTATAAGCACCCGTTAACTTCCAAATAAACGACTTCTTGTATTCAATATCTCTAAAACAGACACACTCTATATATATATATATGTACACTCATCAATATTCCCATGGGTTCAAAAATGCTTTCATTGTCAAGACTAGCTTCTGGCCCAGAACCTGCAAAATGCGAACCACGCTTCTGAGCACCAAGCCTTTGCCTTAGCTCCAAGAACAAAAGAACCTAAAGAACGCATCACAGCAGGAGGAGGAGTACTAGTAGTGGTAGTAGTAGTAGTAGTAGTGGTGGTAGTAGTAGTGGTAGTAGTGGTAATAGTATCAGTAGTAGGTGGCGGTACGAGCGTCGCACGGATGTTTCGCGATGTTTTTGGATGTCTAGGTTGGCAGGGTTGTATTAATAATGGCTTGTTGAAGTTTTAGTTTGGTCGCATGAACCATTCCATTTTTGGCGATTACATTGAATCAAGGTTTTTGACAGTCTTGCTGCTGAGCTGAAACACGCTAATCATGCTTATCCAACATGACTAAAGCATCTTGGCACCTTCTCTATTTTAGCTTCCAACTTGTGGGAAGGAACAAGCCAACATAATGAGGGCTAAATTTAGTTTTGTGCGGATGGTAGGGGAAGACGGGTATTTTTCAAAATGAAGTGCCATCTTGCATGCCCTTCTGTGCCAGATGGCTAACGCGTTTGAGTGTAGCCTTGTCGAAGGCTTCTGGTGTTCACCAAAAGTTGGGGTTCTTACCACATAACACCCCAAAGCGTAAGCGCTGAAGACCAAGCCCTATACCACAAAATGAGTTAACAGAACTGATGGCAAACACAAGCAACCAAATCAGTCGGCTTGGGGTTTTAAACTTTGCTTTCCGGCAGCCTGGGCATTCGCGCGGACCAATCCCATTCACGGAGTTGAAGCTGCAATGGTTCTCCTTTGCTGAATTTCGTGCTTATTCATGGATTCATGATAACCCCTTCAACGCTTACACGCAAACTTCGACATTAACCAAACAGGTAAGATTTATTTACATCCTTCTCCTGAAGCCAGAAACCCTAGACACTCAACCCTAAAACAGAAGAAAACCCTAAACTGCTGACCCTGAACCTTAAAAGTCCCACCCAAACCTGCTTAGCCTCTTCTAGGGTGCCTGGATGCAGAATCACATCCGGCAGCTATTCGCACCATCGCTTTGAGCTACTATGCAAGCTTAAAGAGTTGTGTAGAGGGTGAGCTGCACCTCCCAGTGCCGGCGGTAGAACAGTGCTCAAGGTACCTTCCCCTGTCTGTGGTTTTGTGACCCGTCGGGTTCACTTGCAACGCTGCGTTTTGGTGGATGTTTGATGTTTTTTTGTGTTTTCGGGCAACGTTTTGAGAGGGTCATATGGAAGTTTGCGGAGGGTTGTTTTTATGCAGGCTTGTCAAGGCATCGAGGTGAACGGAGGATGTTTCTTGTGTTTTCGGGAAAGGGCATGACAGGGTCGTTTGGACATTTGCGCGGGGTTGTTTCTCATGCAGGTTTGTCCAAGGCAAGCGGAGGTGCATGTTGGAAGATTCAGAGTTCGAGCAGGGGCTCGAGATGCTGACGGTGGCCCTTGCGTTTAGCTATATAATTTTGCCAGATGCAAGCAGGACACACTTGCCTGCCAAGTAACCGATTTCTCCAGGTTAGTCCGTCTGGGATTCTTTCGATTCTTTGGGCTCAGCATGTTTCGGGTTTAGGGT